GCTTTCTAAGAATGATGCCTAAATTCTCTCTACCTTTTGTAAATTTGGCTAAGGTTTCAACTTGATCCTCAATAATGACTTTCAATGATTCATTTTCAGAAATTAACTCAATTGAGGCCGCTTCTTTAGCTAATTCTTTTTCTTTTTTCAAAGTTTCATTTTCAAGTTGAGATTTTTCAAGGTTTTGAGAGATGATAAGCTTTTCTCTTCTAAGGCTAGCACACTTTTGAACCATTTTGCCTAATTCATCATGTAATTCTTTAAAAGCATCTAGCAAATAGTTATGTGCATCAACTAATTCATCATATGAAGTTTCTAAATCAAATGAGTCATGATTAGAATTTACCTCATCTTCATCGGCTATGAGACAAAGATTGACCAATTCATTGAGTTCATCGTCATTTTCGGATCCATTTGAATCATCATCTTCCCATGTAGCTCGCATGGCTTTGCCTTTCTTTTTCCTTTCCTTTTCATTTTTGTAGGCATAGCAATCGGATTTGAAATGCTCCGGTTTTCCATAATGAAAACATGTAGGTGCTTCTCTTTTTCCTTGCTCACTTGATGAACCATTTCTTTTAAAGTTGTTACTCTTTTGGAACTTTTTCATTTGAAGGACTCTTCTCACGGTCTTGGTTATGAGAGCAACTTCTTCTTCTTCATCATTGGAAGCTTTATCAATTGTGACTTCTTTGGTAGTAGCTCGAAGAGCTATATCCTTCTTTTGAGCTTCTTTGTCTTCATCTCTATCATTCATCTCTAACTCATAGTCCATTAATGAACCAATGAGTTCATCTATGGGGAGTGTATTGAGATCTTTGGCCTCTTGGATGGCGGTCTTCTTGGCTTCCCAATTTTTAGGCAAAGACCTAAGAATTTTTCTCACATTGTCGGATGATGTATATGATCTTCCAAGAGCCTTCAAAGGATTCACAATGTTAGTAAAACGAGAAAACATTTCACTAATAGTTTCTCTGTTACTCATGGTGAAAAGTTCATATTTATGGACAAGCATATTCATTTTGGATTCCTTAACATGACTAGTCCCTACATGGGTAATTTCAAGTTTATCCTAAATTTCTTTGGCTGTTTCGCAATCCGAAATTCTATTGAATTCGTCTTTGCTTAAGGCACAATAGAGATTAGTGATAGCCTTGACATTACATTGTACAAGCCTACGGTCATTGAGGGTCCATTCAATATCAGGTGTTGGAACAGTTTCACCATTTACTATTTTGGTTGGAACATGGTCTCCTTTTTCTGTGGCTTTCCAGACATCTATATCAACACCTCTTAGGAATGCTCTCATTTTGATCTTCCAATAGTTGTAGTCATTTCCATCAAACCAAGGAGGTCTATTATTAGATTGACCTTCTTGATGAAAATTTGTATTGGCCATGGTCGTTCTCTAAGATCGTTTTCTAGAGATTAGGCTCTAATACCAATTGTTAGTCACTAATTGACTCTAGAGGGGGGGTGAATAGAGTCAATGGCCAATTTTTGCAATTTATAAAATATTAAATCTAACAAACTGTTAAGCACAGAGGAATTGAAACATTCAAGCAGTATATGGCACAAGTATAAGAGAGATAGAGATGAGAGATTGCAAACTATGACTCGGCGATTTAGCGAGGTTCGGAAACTCTTACTCCTCGGCTCAAGGTCCCCCTTGAGACCTCCCAAATTCACTAGAGCTTCTCTTTAATGGTGGAGAGCAAACCTTCAATTTGAAGCAAAACCTTGCTTCTTCTTCCTTGCTAGGAGAACACCCTTCTCCTAGGCTTCTTTTGGGTCACACCAACCCTTACAAGATTGTAGCAAAGTTTGTAAATGAAATACAAGATTGAATCTCTCTCAATAGATGTACAAATGTAAGCTCACAACTAGAGTTAATAAGAATATTAATGAAGCTCAAGTTCTAGGATGAGAGAATGTAGAGATAGATGAATGAAAGCTCAGAGAAAGAATTTATGGCTATTGAATGCTCTTGAATGCTCTTGTTGAATGTTCTTTCAAGTGGTGTCACAAGTTCAGCAGAGAAGCCCTCTGTATTTAAAGAAATCCGTAACTCAATATGTCTGTTAGAAGTGGTTGGAGGAATTAAATACAGAAATTGCCGTTGGAATTTCAGATCTCTCAAAGGAGCCGGCTCTTTGTAAAAGTGGAGGAGGCTCCAATATTGAGTAGAGGAGGCTCCAATATTAGTAGAGCAGGCTCCAATATTTGGGAGGCGGCTCTCTCCAAGAAAAAATTGTTCTACGAGCCAATTTAAGCTACTGGAGTGAAGAGAGCAGGCTCTACCTTGAGTGGAGCCGGCTCCAATACTGTGCAAGACTAAAAATAAAATTAACCGAGTCCTGTGCACTTCCTATTGATATGTAGCTTGCATATATAAGGTTCAGGAATAGATTTTAGGTATTTTAAAACTGAATTTAGAATGAGTATGCATGAACCTAAAATCTTGAGCTTCAAAATATATTCAAATAAACTTTAACATTAAGTCTAAAGCACTCACCATCATATCTACCCTTTTCTTCATTTCTTGAACATGATTGATTAGGCTTAATGAAGACTTGCTTTCTTCCTTTGAAATGCTTGAGTGATATTTGAAGCCCGAGATTTTCTTTGATTTCTTGCAACTTTGAAGCTTCTTTGAATCCATAGCTTGAGTACTTGAAATGCTTGAATTGATCCTTTAGCTTATCATTGAGGATTGGATATTAATCATCTATACATCACTCAATGAAAATATTAGTTCTTAAACATCATTAATGGTTTGTAATCATCAAAACATAAGATTGACCTTTAGATAAAATCCTTAGGCCAACATTATCTGCAAGTATTATATTTTTAATGTGTTGCTACACACACCATTTACCACCACAAAATATCGAGATGATGAAATTCTGGTTTGGTTGGGGTAATGGTTTGATGGTCATTTGTGGAGGAAAATATTTTGGCATGAAGGTGGTGGCTTTGTGAGAGTGAGTTGAAGGTCATGGAGCTCGCTTTCTGGGCATGAGGTGAAGGTCATGGAGGTCTGATGATGAATGTTTAGGGATGGAAAATCTCTGATTTAGAAAAACACACTCTCATTTTGATTTTTTTTTTCTTCCATATTTTTTGGTAAGCAGTTGATGTAATTTCTTCTTGTTTTAGAATTTTCTTAATTCAATATCTTCTTAAGATAGCTGTAGCTATGGAATGCTGAAATATTTATCTATGTGTAATATATATGATATACATATATATTTTTATGTCATTCACCAAGAAATGTTTGGAGGCTGTGGTTATCTAGTTATGGCTATGGGTTTTCTGGTACAATGATGAGATGGTGGTTGATATGGGCATATGGCATGGTTTGGGGGTTTGGAACTTTGGATCATAGTGGTTGTCAGTGATGGAGAAGGTAGAGGCAAACAATGATGATGTTTTGGATTTTAGTTGGATGATTGAGATGCATTTGGCATTGAATGTAAGTTAGAGGGAGAAAGAGATGAGAAAAGATAAGGTGACGGATCAACCTTCTAAAATGTATGGTGATGAATTGTGGTTATGGCGGTAGTTGGTGTAGGCTTATATTTCGTAAAGGGAGAAAGAGATGAGGGAGAAGATGTTGAAGGTGGAGTGAGAAAAGCAAGAGAAAGGTTGAAGGCAGATTGGTGAATGTGCTTGTGGCTTGTTCTATTTACTTCAGCTTTACATTAAAATAATGTGGGCTATATGGTAAATTTACAATTTCCTCTAACTCCATTTGCCGACAATTCTGGGCAGGGAGTTGGTCTAATTTGCAAGAAAGAATGGTTAGAAAGGGGATAACTGTTTTCATATTGAACAGCTTTTTCTTACAAAGTATGAGGTAGGTCAATGTAATTATTCTATTATGAAGATCATAAATTTGTTAGAAAACAATTGGTGGAGGCTTAAATTTGGTAAAGGGAGAGCGACATGAGGAAGAAAGAGATGTTGATGGTAGAGAGAGAAAAAGTAAGAGGTTGAAGGCGGAGGACTGCATGCTGCTTCTTGTATTTATTTACTTTTCTTTTACCTTAAAAAGATTCATACAATAACGTGGGCAGTATGGTATAATTGCAATTTCCTCTAACACCATTTGCCAACAACACTAACTGGGAGTTGGTCTAATTTTTGTGATAGAATTGTTTGAAAGGGGATAACTGTTTTCATATTGAACAGCATTTTCTAACAAAGTGCCAGGTAGGTCAATGTAAGTGATTCTATTAGTAAGATCATAAAATTGTTAGAAAACAATAATGTTTATAGAATATCACATGCATAATTTAGCATACCTTAGTGAGAAGGGAATAAGTGTTTCCACCCTCGCCTTCCCGCGGTAATTATTCATAAATAACTGCTTTTTTATGATTCTTTTTGTTTCCTCGAGGCTTCTCTTTTTAGTTGGCTTTTGTCAAAAGGAAAACTCTTCTGGTCTGTTCCCCCTCACCCAAAAAGAGATCTCTCTATCCCTAACTGATATATATTTAGCATAAAAATAAAACAGTGAATTTTTTTTACTGTTGATTTGCCATTTGAAGCACAACTCGTATAGGTAGGAGGCGAAGGAGACATTAATAAGGACATCTACGCAAATGACCTGATGCAGGAGAGAACTGAAACAAAGTTCATATACCTTACTCTGCTTAAGGTCTAGTGTTTTGCGTTGTGTGTGTGGTAATAATGTCCATTCAATACTCTTTTTACATAAAAATTTATGTATTATGTGTGTATATATATTTTTGTAAAATAATCAGCCCACCTAGCCTTAAAACACAGCTCTCCTGACCAACTTTGTGCAGCTCCCTCTATATGTATGTTTTCTTTATTGTGTTTTATTTGAGCTTGTTAGTAAAAGCTCAGAGGATGCTAATTTAAAAGGTTAGGCTGTTTTCAATTGAAAACAATCCATGATTATTATTGGAATTATTTAAGTTCAGGTTCCCTTTTTATCATGCAACTGTTTGACATCCTTGATTTGTTTGAAGTTGTTATGGGATCTGCACGTGGCATTGTGATGAATGGTACCATATTGAGTCAGATAATCATATACCAGAAGCTCCGTGCTAAGAAAGGTGAAAAAAATGAATAGGAGAGCAAGGATGTGGCTCAGGAATTCAGCTTCACCTCACGGTTTAGGGTGGTATGCTGCAAACATATTGGATTCCCACGGCCATACAAATAAAGGACAGGTGCCAATATCCTATTCTATTATCTTCGAAGATGAAGTTTAGCATTTTATGTTTCGTGAACATCAATGCTCCTTTCTCTGGTATGTCGATACCGGAATCATTTTCACTTTTATACAACTCTAATCTTATTATGGAGTTTATTCTCTGGGGAACTCTGTTTAAATTATTCTGGTGAATTCCGTCCAATCTACTTATTTTATCGTCTTATTGAAAATCATATAAAGACAATTCCTGTTTAATAGAACGACTAGTGCGATATTATGTGGCTTTAGAATCTTGTAATCTTCATGGTTAGGTCTAGATTCCTTTGGCAATGAATTGGCTCGTTTATAATTGCAGTTCTCTCAATGCATATTGATTGAATGCCTGCTCAAACTGAGAATAAATGGACTAAACAATTTGACAAGAAAACTTGCGATTATTATATCAGTATGGAGCTTATATGTCATCTCAACATTATCTATTGGTTAGTTGCAATTCTATTGGTCAGTCTTAGTTTTTCGCATTGATTAGGGTTTTCCGATTTGATAATGTGTCTAATGTTGTTTTGAACACTTCGGAATGGAAGGAAAGATATTTAGTAATTAAGAATCCTTGTTAGACATGGTGGTTGGAATAGCTAAAAAAAAATGGATCATCCAAGTGTTGAACTACTCGGTAATACTCAAGTAGAAAGGCACGATTCTTTTTTATTCTCCTCCAGGGCCTTTTTATCTCCTAGGCCATATAAATGCCTGGCCCCAACATTTTTAATCGATTGTGCCACTGATAAATACAAGAGTATGGCTATTTAGCCCGACTTAAAAAAACCGAATTATACTTAGATTGCTACGTATGCAAATATCACCGTTCTCAAGTTTTGCTTTCTCCACCGTCAGATCTTGTGAAGGCGTCGGATGGGAGTTTAAAAAACTACTTTGGTTACAAAACACGGTGGTCGTTTCATTAATCCAACCACCGGTGATCCAGCAAGATCTGTTGAAGAACTCTCAACAATACTCAAATTCGTCTTCTGTTTGTACGATCCCAAACACACGTTCAATTTTCATCAAATTCATCTTCTGTTCGTACCATCCCAAACACACATTCAATTTTCATCTTTTATTCATAGACTACCAAATACACACAGATTCATTTATCATAGAATCTCAAATAGACACTCACTCTCTCTTCCCAAAGCCACAATGCAGTACTCACTCATAACCACATAACAGGGACAAGAACATTCTTGTTAAAAAGGGCTTTTTTTTTTTTTTTTTTGCCCCCTTTTTACTTTGTGGGTTGAGAAACGTTATGATGTAATTATGGAGTCCCAATCACCATACTAACACCTACCTCAGAAACAAATTTGTCGTCCCATAAAGTAGGTCTCTCTCTATACCCATGGTGATGAATGATGAACGAATAAAAAGGAAAAAAAAAAAAAATTTGAATAAATAGGTGTCGCCGGTGGTAGAGTAATAACGCTATGGTGATTTTTAAAGAAGGTGGGCCACAAGTGATGGAGGAATTGTGAAACTCTATTTTTTTCCGTATATATTCATATTAAATAAACGTGTTTAGGTGATTAATAACATTCAGTCATATATTGAGTCGGTTTTTTATTTTCCTAAATACAAATATCAATGATATATTATTATTTTTTTTGCGCAGTATCAATGATTAATGAAGCAAGATTTCACATTGTGTGCCGTGTGTTGGAATGAAATGGATGATTTGTTTTCCGTTCACATTGTGTGCGGTGTGTTAGAATGAAAATGATTGTTCCTTTTAATTATTCATTTGTTTGGTATGCAATTTAAAGTGGGAATGATAATTTCTTTGGAAAGAAAGTAAATTCTACAACTATATACATGGAATGGTCATTCCATTTCAAAGTAAATTTTTTTTTAACAATAAAGTTTTCAAAAAGTCCTCATGTTTTAAGTCCTAAAACAACCACCACCACCAACTTTTCACACAACCACCATAGCCTTTCACCATCACCACCTCCATTACCTTCCATTGCCATCTCCACTATTGTTACCGCTTTCAACTACTGCACCGTTGCCGCCTTCAACAACCACTCCATTGCAAGGGCGGATTCAAGATTTCTTGTTGGGTGGGTTAATATTAAACATAAATTTAATAACAAAATGTCTTAAGCAAAAAAATAAAATAAATTATAACATAATATAGATAAATATTTAAATTCAAATATTACAAAATATCTATTTAAGTTGTGCTCGACGAATCTTTAAAGATTTGAATTCGTCAATAATACACTCCAAGTCAATTTTTCAAAGAAGCTCCCGTTCAAGGTTGATAATCATGTAGTTAGCAAAAAATTCATCCCCAATTCTGTTACGCATTGTTGTATTAACACGTTTCATGCTTGGGTGGGAGGTTGAAGTGGGCTAATACTATTAATATTATTATTATTTTTGGCTAGGCTAATATTAGTATAATAATTTTTTTTTTTTTTTTTTTTTTTTTTTTTTTTTTTTTTTTTTTCTGGGTGGGCTACAACCCACTTTTGCCCACCCCTCTATCCGCCTTTGCTTCATTGCCTTCCACCATTGTCACCACTACCACTATCTACTTCCACCACTACCACCCACCGCCACCTCCATTGCCTTCCACCATCATTATTGCCACCACTACTGTCATCATTACCTCCACAACTGTCGCTACTGTCACCACCATCGCATTTCACCATTGCCACCTTCCACCATCACCACTTACACCACCGCCGCCTTCTACCATACCACCACCGTCACTACTACTGCCACCATTATCGCCACCTTCCACCACCACCACACCACCGCCACCGTCATTGACTTCCATTGCCAGCCCCACTTCCACCACCACCGCCACCTTCACCGACTTCCATCATCACCACCGCCACCTCTATTGCCTTCCACCACCACCGCTTACACGTCGCTTTCCACTAACACCATACTACTGCCACCGTCATTGCCTTCCACCATCATCACCTACACCACTGACACCTTTTACCCTCGCCATCGCCACAACCACCGCCACCTTCTAACACCACCACCTACACCATAACTGCTATCCACCCAACCACCATCATCTTTGTCATCCACCACTGTTGCCATTTCTTTTAAAAAAATCACATAAAATGTTATTTTGTTAATTTAATTTATTTGTAACCAAGTGGGATATTTTGAAGAATTTAATTTGAAATTCATTCCATCATAAATTTTAAACTGCCCAACCAAAAGACTTGACATTATTGTACAGAATAATTAGGAGTTTTTATTAAAAAATATATAGAATTATTGCAAATGTGTAACCTCACTCGTCACATGCCTTGTTAAAAATAAAAGAAATAAAATCCTTCAAGCACAAATGATTTGGGTAAATACAATATATTAAACAACTTTAATTTGGGTAAAATGTTTTGACATTCCTAAATTTGCTTTTATTGTTTACAGATTAAAGATAACTTAAATAATTTGGATAAATACAATATATTAAACCATCTCTAATTTGGATAAAATGTTTCGAACATTTTGAGATTTGGTTGCTTTTATTGCTTACAGATTAAGGATAAATTATAGAGGAATATACAATTCAACGGTTTTTCATTCCCGCGAATGGAAAATTTGATCGCAACACTGGATATAGAGTAAACATTGGAAGCTTGAAGTTGCTTAAGGACCCTTTGTGAGCTTTTCTAAACTCTTTCTCTAATCGTCGGCCCGAGTGGAGGCAAATTCTTATTTTATTAGATAGATCGTGAGCCCGCGGGGTTTGACATTGAAATCCGGGACAAAAAAGGGACCGACAATGTTGTCGCAGACTATCTTTCTCGCTTACTTATTGAAAAATCTTCTAAATTCGTCCTTTGTGAGACTTTCTTGACTCAATCTCCTTAGTTAAATCGTGAGCCCGCATGGAGGCATTTTTCTTGTCATTGCATTATTATTGTTTCAAATATGGGCCAAGTTTTGAGTTTGGGTTTGAGGCCAAGTTTGTATTTTCATGGGGCTTCTTAGGGATTCATATAGATCGTGTTGTCCCCGACAAAACCCTCCAGTTTCGGCACATTTATGTCAACTCTCCTAAAATTTTGGTGGCTAGTCTAACAATTTCGTGCAAGTTTCTAAATTTTACCGTGCGTTGTTTCTTTCATTTTTAGAAATATATATATATATATATATAGTTTCCTTCAACACTGCACTTTTAAGATTTATACTCACAAAACTCACTACTTATATAGACATCCTCCCTCTGATAAACCGTTAGATGCATTATATCATCAAAAATTAATATTTAATCTTTTGAACACTCCTCGTATGATCTACAAAATTCTCTTCTTTTTAGTATCTTCTCTAATCTACCTGTTTAGACCACATTTTCCAACTTGGTACTTTCCATTAGAAAAGGCCACGTGGCAGATCCAAACAGAATTCACAAAAGTAATTCCAACGACAGGTATATTGGTCTACAACGAACTTACAAGAGCTCACAAGCAGATGAAATTTGGATGAATGGTCCGATGGAGAAAAGGACACGTGGAGAATCCTAAACAGAATGGTATTTGGAAAGGTGTTGTTCATCACAAAGACCCACATAAACTGCAAGATTCATGGGTATATACGTGTTGGCATACAAAAAGGCTAAGCAAAGCAGTTGAACACGTGGCATAAATCCAACCGTGCCACTTGGAAACATCTGAAGACAATAATGAAACCGATCTAGGTAACTGTCATTTTACAATTCAATAAATAAAGCACAATATTGTAACTTGGCGATTTGTCAAAACACACAACTCAATCAGTAATTTCAATACTACAACACTTCAATTTGTCTTTACATTATCGCAATGCAACTTCAATATGTTTAGCTGTCAAAACACACAACTCAATCAGTAATTTCAATACTACAACACTTCAATTTATTTTTAAATTATCACAATGCAACTTCAATTTGTTTAGCTTTAGTCTTACACTTTCTTGCTTTACATTCCAGCATTTTACATTTAAGTTGAGCACTTTCAAGCTTAGTTCATTTCCTCTTAGCCATACAGCATGTTAGAAATAGAAGAAAAAAATTCTGACACTGCTGACGTGACAGATAGATAAAATATGACGTAGCAATCTGCTGATGTGGCAGACTTACCGGATGCTGATATGGCAGTGCTGACTGGATATTGAATGTCGTGGTAGACTGACTGGATGCTGACGTGGCTCTGACGTGTCAATGATAAGGTGGTAGAATGACGTGGCAAAACTGGCGTGAGGCCAACGTTG